GACTACCTGGTTGGGGTCCGCGAGATGATAATAATCGATGGTTAAAGACCCTGAGTGACATGGCTCAAAACCGATTGCAGTAGCGCTGGTGCATTCATTCATTATGTTCTCTCAAATTCTAACCTTCTGAGTTCCTCATCACCTTTATGTCTTTTTTTTAAGTTTGTTTCACTAGATTCTAATTCTCGAATGATATCCTCGTACTCTAATCCCTCCCATTACTGCTAATAACTTTACTACCTCTACTACTATTAGATTTCAATTGACAATTACATCTCTGTACTAATATGGTATGGCAACATGAACTGATGTACGTACGTACGTACGTACGTATGAAGTTCTACGTTGCTATTGATTGATTGATTGATTGAATTGAATTGAGTTTAAGAATTTCTTGTTTTCTAATCATTATTCTAACATAAACATATTTGAAATGATTGAATTTAAAAGTCAACTTTTCAAACTATAATCCCCGATAAGTCTGAAAATTTCTACTGCTTACAGAGTTTCAAATGATGATCCTATATGGAAAGAAAATTTGTATTGACGGAAATAACTTGAATAAAACACATTTGTAAACAATTTATTGTTCAATGATCATTTTATATTTGTTTTAAATGTCAGGTTTTTTTTTTAAAAAAATTGTCGCATTGTTTATCTGAGTACAAGTAGGGTTTTCTTTAAACACACAAATTAGTTATTGATTTTTAAATATTCTTACCAATTAATGAGACTGCGAAGATAGGAATGAGCGTAAACTAGCTAGTTTCGGTTTAGGTGTTTATTTATTCCTAACGGTTTATATAATGTAGTTCTTATCGGTTTTGTTGAATGTACTTTTTTGGGGCAGAGTTTTGGAGGTTTGCGTTTTTACACATTTGAAATCATCAATCAATCATTGTTAAACCACCATTAGAAACCTGGAAGTACTGGACGGCCGTTTCGTCCTGGTATGGGACTCATCGGCAGTGCGCATCCACGACTCCTGCTCCTCACAGGATTCGAACCGGGGACCTTCGGCATTGTAGGCGAACGCCTTACCATGTATGTACTTTTTTATCGAGTCCATTGGGCTTGTCTCTCAGTCTTTGGACAGTTTAATCATTCCATTCTTGCCGAATTGTTATTCTCTTGTCTTTTGACCTTGTCTATTATTCGCTTATGACCTTGGTGGTTGTTATTTGTGTGTGTATGTGCACTCTTACTTCGCTGATTATATGTGTCTAGCTTATTTTTGTCTAACTATGAATACTTAGTTATGCATCGTCGCCATGAAGTGGCTTGTTTGCCACCTTCACTTGGCTGCTTGGCTTCTTCTTTACGCGTCGCATTCTCATGTCTATCTGTGTGAACGATCTCATGAAATAAATTCATCCACACAACTGTATTTGGCTCCTTATAAACAACCATCGCTTAAATGGTGTTCAGCTAGGTATGATATGCGAAAATGGAATGGAAGATTTATTTCATAGTTTTACGCATGTACGTAAACACGTCAATTTGATATGCATGAATTATTACGAGTTTACCTTAGTCAGTAAACGAGAGCGAGGATCGAGGATCCGGCGACACGACAGGCTACTCTAATCCGATTGTCCCAACCACCTATTGAGTAAAAGAAGAAGACTTGATATGAAGTAGAACATGTATTCTACAAGCATCCAGAAAGTACGAGGTCTGAGTCCAGAAGAGGATAAGGATCCTGAACTAGGGATCCGGGTCCGGTCATAAAACGTTATAGGAAATGCGTATTTATACAGTTAGGTCTAATAGGAACCAACATTGAAGTATGTGACATAGATAGTTAGGACGACTATAATATTAACCAGTAGGAAATCGATCAATAGAATTTGACTTCCAAAAATAATTCAGTCAGTTGCAACGTAGAACTTCGTACGTATATACATAAGTTAATGTTGCCATACCACATTATTAGCACAGAGGCGCTAATGTCAAATCAAATCCCATAGTGATAAAGATAGTAGAGGTATTAATGGTAATGAAGACTAAGTTTCAAACATATAATACAAGAAATATAATACAGCGAGAAAAGGTTAGAACAACAAAGGTAGTGGTGCTGACGATTCCAGAAGACAAAGATATGAGATAGCTGAAAGAATCGATGCACTTGAGCCATTGAAAACAATTCTAAGTCATCTCATTCAAGGTCTCTAACCATTGGTGACTTTCGTCTCGCGGACCCCAACCAGGTATTCCACATCTACCAACATGACTCAGTCCACTTGTCAGTGACTTGATGGATTTGTGCCATGTATTGTTCTGACCGCCCCTAGCTTTCTCGCGGACCCCAACCAGGTAGTCTACATCTACATCTCTTAAGATACTTGATAAATATCCTAACACAAAGCATACTCGAACGTTCGTGGATAGAAGGGTCAGATCGTGAGCCACTAAAGTGGTGAGCCCTACTTCGAATTCAACTCAGACACTAAAATATAGAAGTTCTTTATGTAGAAAAAACGTAGATGTTAACCTGAAAAAAACCATACCTTTAAAGAATAATTAAATTGTCTATCACAATTGAAGGAATATAGTACTGTAGTGAAGGAGAACACAGGTGAGGGCAACCGAATTGTATTTAACGAGAAAAATTACAGAGTTACTCAGTAAAATAGGAAAACCATATCGTAAACAGTTAATTTGCAAATCTTCAATCCATCATCAATCCATCATTGTCTGACATTTCACTCACTATTCATGCGTTTCATACAAATTCCATTGTGTTCCCACTCTTCCTTTCTTGATCTTCCCCCATCTTCTGCTGCCAGACACTACGTTGACACACGTCATATACTACTTATAAGTAGCGCGCACCACAGTACAAGTAGAAAGGTGATTATGCTGTAAAAGAATAAAAAACTATACATTCAATGTACATTTATTTACTGAAGAAATTGATTTTTGAATTCATCATATATTCGACCTATCTTATTAATGTACTTACTTTCTTTGAATGAACAAGACAATTTGATATTGTCAATGATGCTGAATGATCATTTGAGTGAAGTTACGTAACCAAAATTAATGAGAATTGTTTTTCTTTTTTTTTACGGATTAAGAGTTACACTGTGTTCTTATGCTTAGCCAGATAGATTAACACTTTTCGATATTAATTATGAGTATGATTATTATCAAAGTTTATGTGAAGTTTTGTTGGGGATGTTAGATCCTCAGAACTCGCGCTTGATAAATATCTGTATTTTGGATTGATTTCATGAACCGATCAGTTGACCTTGAGATCACATTTCCCACCAGGAAAATCCTTGGGTGTGAATGGTTACTGTGTCATTTTAGTTGTGCTATTTTTGTCACTGTCCCAAGGACGTCTCTGTAGAGTATAAATAAACGCAATTTGAGTGCTTGGATTCATTGTGTTCTGGCTGGGTGTTTGTAGAATACAATTTCTAAACTATATCGAGACTTCTTGCTAATACCTTTTGGTCAAGGGATCAGAGTAGCCTACCTGTACTCTGGTTCATTGTTTTGTTCTCGTTATTTGACTAAGTTGAACTCGTAATAGTTAAAGCATAACTAGAGTCGAGCGTAACAAGTTTATATAAACCATCCCCACGTTCATATTGAATATACTTAGAATTGGATAAAAGCTTAGAGTTTGTACTTTTTAACAACCAAGGGGAAAAAAAGCGTTCAATAATATTGATTTATTGATTAATTGTGCTGTGAAGTTCGCTACAATAAGGTATTCTCATCATCGATTATTCACTACTAAAATAAATTTCTGTTCAAGGTAGATTTTACTCAAAATTGTTCGGAAAAATAACAATTTATCGATCTTCAATAACAAATACATCTCAATGTAGTTATCGCTTCACAGAGTAGAAATGAGGAAGAAAATGAAATCAAGAACTGAACAGTTTTCATTTGAAACTTTCTACTAGTTAACATCTTAATAGATTGTAAGATTTTAAATGAAAGTCCTTGATACATCCGGTTAAGTCTGTTAACTAGTCAAGTATTGCCTATTTAAAACAGGAATGTTAAATATAACAATTAAATAGTCGGTAAGTACGTACTCCTAATGTGATCATCTAGTCTTTTGATTACTATTTCACCATTCTCCGGAGAAGTTCCATAACTTTTAAATCTAAAATAAACATTCTTTGAATACTTCAACTTAATAATATTAGTTTGTTGCTTACTTACTTACCTACTTAATTACGCCTGTTACCCCCAATCGAGCATAGGCCGCACACCAGTTTTCTCTAACCAACTCTGTCCTGGGCTTCCCTTTCCAATTTTGTCCAATTCTTGTTCATTCTTCTCATATCTTTCTCTATTTCTCGGCGTAATGTGTTCATTGGTCTTCTACCTTTCCTTTCACCTTGAGAGTTCCATGTGAGGGCTTATCTTGTGACTCAGTTCGGTGCTTTTCGTAGTGTGTGTCCTATCCACCTCCACCGCTTCATCCTGCTTTCCCACAGTACGATGTTTCTTACTTATCCGATAAAACTTAAAAACAGTTGATCATTAAAATAAATACTTTAATTAATTTTAACGGATTTTGACTATAAACTCTAGTAAAAGTCTTTTAAACAATTTGGTTTTCTACAGGATGGCGTCGTTAACCCTTCTCCTTTATTTTAGCTTCAGGCGGAGTTGCCAACTGCAGTAAACTTCAGGTTACTCAGTAAAATCGGAAAACCATATCGTAAATCGTTTAATTGCAAAATATCAGTTCATCATATCGAACTGGACTGTTCCTGTTGCAAAACATCAATCCATTGTCACTACTATTCATGCGTTTCATACAAATTCCATTGTTTTCTAACTCTTCCTTTCTTGATCTTCCCCCATCTTCTGCTGCCAGACATTACGTTGTCGCTCACGTCATATACTACTTATAAGTAGCTCACACCTTAATCTTATTAATTCAGTATATAATTTCTTTTATGTTTTTTTCTCTCTAGAAATATGCTCGTCAATTGAAAATTGAACGTTCTTTAAACAACCTATCAAATATGATTGATCAAAACAATCCTGAAAATATGTCCTATGAATATCAAATGGAAAAAACTCTACAAGTAATTTTAAATTCATGCCAACTTCATTTTTCAATTGTTAAATGTTATCAATAGAGTTGTGTAGATTGTTGAATTTCTTCACTGAGCAGCTCATGTATTGATCAGTGTTAGGCATCCATTAGAAATCTGGAAGCCCCCCAAGACATCTGTTTCGTCCTAGTGTAGGACTCGTAACATGGCCGTCCAGTGCTTTCAAGTTTCTAATACTGGTCTAACAATGATCGATTCTGGTATGGGACTCCTCAGCAGTGCGCATCCACGACTCCTGCAGCCCTCAGGACTCGAGCCCAGGACCTTCGGTATTGTGCGCGAATGCCCTAACCATTAAACCACTGAGCCGATATCCAACGGTGTTAATGTCTATCTTGATCAAATTCACAATCTTCACAACCCCGTAATGCAAATTACCTGTGCTCACTAGTGACTAGCTTCGTGAGGAATCTTCTCCGAGTTCTAGTGGGAAGACGTGACCAGTGAAGTTCAACCTGTTCGGGTGTAGGCAGTGTCTACCGAAGACTGTGTATGAGGTTGCGCAACTCCGTGAATTTGATCAAGTTAGACATTAACACCGTTGAATATCGGCTCAATGGTCTAACGGTTAGGGCGTTCGCGCGCGATACCGTAGGTCCTGTGTTCGAATCCTACGGGCTGCAGGAGTCGTGGATGCGCACTGCTGAGGAGTCCCATACCAGGACGAAACGGCCTTCCAGTGCTCCCAGGTTTCTAATGGTGATCTGACATTGATCGATTCATGTTTTCTAAAATGTGTAACTTAACAATCTTCACAACCCCGTAATGCAAATGATCGATTCATTATTCCAATAAGTTAGTTATATAATCATTGTTTTTTTTCTATTATTCTTACTACAAATAGTAAGTACACCTATCTTCCTACTATCAACTGTTCCCTTTTTAGGTGAAGTAGTTACGTAATCTGTTTCATTCTGACCAATGAATGACTCATACATTACCTTGATTGGTTCAACCTCTTTTTTCACATAAATATTCATGTAACATTAAGACAGGAAAGCCTGATGATGATGATGATGATGATGATGATGATGATGATGATAGAATTGTATGATGTAATGTATTATTATTCTAATGTTACGCATCACATACAAACCAGGTTATATAACACAATAGTGATGAATGACTCATAGTCTATAAATTCTTATAGGTGATTTTCATTACATACTTTAGATTGGTTCACATTCACATCTCTTACATTACTTACTTACTTACGCCTGTTACCTCCAATGGAGCATAGGCCGCCGACCATTTTTCACCAACCTACTCTGTCCTGGGCTTCCCTTTCCAATTCTGTCCATTCATTCATTCTTCTCATATCTTTCTCTATTTCTCAGCGTAATGTGTTCCTTGGCCTTCCTCTCTTCCTTTTGCTTTGAGGGTTCCATGTGATGGATGGTCTTGTGACGCAGTTAGGTGCTTTCCGCAATGTGTGTCCTATCCACTTCCACCGCTTCTTCCTGATTTCCTCCTCCACTCGAATCTGGTTTGTTCTCTCCCACAGTAAGTTGTTGCTGATGATGTCTGGCCAACGAATCTGAAGTATTGTGCGTAGACAGCTGTTAATAAACACTTGTATTTTCTGGATGATGCCTTTGGTAGTTCTCCATGTTTCCGCTCCATACAGTAGAACTGTCTTCACATTTGTATTGAATATCCTGATTTTGGTTTTGGTTGAAAGTTGTTTGGAGTTCCAGATATTTTTCAACTGTAGAAATGCAGTCCTTGCTTTGCCAATCCGCGCCCTCACATCTGCATCGGATCCACCTTTCTCGTCGATGATGCTGCCTAGATATGTAAAGGTGTTAACGTCCTCCAAGGCATCTCCATGAAGAGTGATTTGGTTTGTGCATGTTGTGTTGCATCGGAGAATCTTGCTTTTTCCTTTATGTATGTTGAGACCTACTACTGCAGAGGCTGCTGCTACATCTCTTACATACACACGTTGTTCAAGCGTCTTTAAATATCTCTCGAAAATTTATGAAATACAAAAAAGAAGTGGAGTGAAGCTGTCTTTGAGAAGATTCTATTTATCGTCTAACTGAGTCTGTTGTATGTATTCCTGAATACCACCCTACTGATGATGAATGAAAGGTGTTTTTCTGGAGATTGTATGATTCGCATAGTTGAAAATCACGAATTGGTCTAAGCTAGAAATTCGAGAGTATTGGACGGCCATTTCTTCTTCGTGTGGGACTCCTCAAAAGTGTGCATGCGGGAATCGAACCTGGGACCTTTAGTCTTGCGCACGGATACTTAACCTGTAGATCACGCTGTCAACTGCCAATTCTTCTAATGTATAACTCCGATCAATCACGTGACCAATGCAGTTCAATCCGTATCGAGTAGGAGGTAATTATTCACTGCAGACAATAGATGAAGGTTGTGCAACATCATGGATTGATTGAAATTTGGAATCAACACGATTGGATGTCCACTAGGTGGTTTGGAGGTTAGGCGTCCGCGCGTAAGATTAATGACCCAAGGTTCAATTCCATTGTGTGAGGACCGTGGATGAGCACTTCTGAAGAGTCTGTTAGAATATTCATCCAATATCCTAAGAGAATTATTATTGGTCAATTCCTATTGGTTAATTCCTACTGGTCAATTTTACGGTCGTCCTAGATATCAATGTCATGTGCTCTAATGTTGTTTCTTATTGGTTGTTGTCCTGACTATCAATGTCACTTTAAATGTTTCTTCCTATTGGCCATCTTAACTGTCAATGTCACAGACTTCGATGCTGTTTCCTATTCGACCAAAATATATAAATACGCATTATCTGTAACGTTTTATGACCAGGACCCGGATCCCTAGTCCGGCATCCTGATTCTCTTCTGGACTCGAACCCCGCACTTTCTGGATGCTTGTAGAATACAGGTTATACTTCATATCACGTCTTCTTATTTTTACTCAATATGAGGGTTGGGATAATTGGATTTGAGTAACATGTTGTGTCACCGGATCCTCGATCCTCACTCTCGCGTTTTCCGATTCAGGTAAACTCGTAATAAATAGTTCAAGTATATCAAGTTGACATGTTTACATACAGGCATAACAGAGTCCTAAAACATGTTCGTAACAGCCATGCGGTACTTCCAGGTTTCTAATGATTCAATTTCATTATGTTGGTAATGTGAACTAGCACAACTTACATTTATAATATTAACTAAATAAATGATTGTTTTTTTTGACTAATTTTTTCCATAGAAATTACATGATGTTATTCAATTGAGACAACAATTACTTCATGAACGTGCTGTGTTAAAATCACAACTTGATAAATTATTACAACGATCTGTCAATGATGTTGATGCTACTACCATTATTGATGATCATGAACATGATGGTGGTGTTGGTGATGGTGATGGTGACCGGGATGTTGATGATGATGATGTTGATGATGTTGATATTGATGGTCGTTGTAATGATTATGTCATTAGTAATAATAATGATGACGACGAGAAAATACATGTTAATCAGGTAATCATGCAATAAGGATTTTTAATATATATATTCATTGAATAGTCAAATTTCATTTAAAGCTATAGATATTTATTATTTTATATATTTCAGAGATATCGTTTTGCTCGATGAAATCCTGAATCGACCATTATTAGACTATTAATGAAAACCTGCAATCATTGGATGGCAGTTTCTCAAAACTCCAAGACTTGTCAACAGTGTACATACATGACCCCACAATATTGTCTCATTATCTACTCAACAATCTCCACAACCCTATGGTGAAAAGTTTTATCTGCTCTCCAGTGACTAGTTCTGCTGAGAAGTTGTGACCAGTAGAATTCCATTTTGTTCGGATGTAAAGCAGTAATCACCCAAGATAGGGAATGAAGTTGCACAAGACCATGGATTAATCGAAGTTAGACATTAACTGCATAGGATAACCGTGATGTAGAAATCCAGAGGTTAAGCGCTCACACGTGAAGCCGAAGGTTCTGGGTTCGATTCCGGGCTGGTTGTATGTGGATCGTGGATGCACACTGCTGATATCACATCCATACTCTGATTGAAACAGCCATCCGATCTAACATTGATCGATTCATGATTTCAATGAAACTCATTGAAATCTTCATAATCCTATAATGAAAATTTAAGCTGTTTCAAATTATTAAAATTCATTATGTTTAAGTAATAATATTCATTCATGAAATCATTGAAGCTCAGCCGATGACATAGTTCTATTCGGTGAAAACGCTGACAAAATGCAGAGTCTTCTGACTACCATAAGCAACAATGCAAGCATTTTCGGCATGCTGTTTTCCCCCTCGAAATGCAAAATGTTGCTTCAAGACTGGGTTGCATCGGCACCTGAACTGGTAATAGGGAGTGAAGTAGTCAAGCGTGTAGACCGCTTCACTTATCTGGGGAGTCTCATCAGTGCTGATAGCCTGATGACTGACGAAATCTCAGCTCGGATACAGAAAGCTCGATTGGCTTTTGCCAACCTGCGTCACTTATGGCGTAGGCGAGATATCCGTTTGCTGACTAAAGGACGAGTGTACTGTGCAGTAGTTCGCTCCGTCTTACTTTATGGCTGTGAAACATGGCCAGTGAGAGTAGAAGATATTCGTAGGTTACTGGTTTTCGATCATCGGTGTCTCCGAAGCATTGCTCGTGTATCGTGAGACAACCGAGTAAGCAATGCTGTCGTTAGGAAACGAGTTCTAGGTAAGAATGGCAAATCAATAGATGAAGTACTGAAACTTCATCAGTTGAGGTGGTTGGGACATGTGTTACGTATGCCTTACCACCAATTGCCTTCACGAGTTATGTTTTGTGGTGTATGAGTAGGTTGGAAGAAAGCGAGGGGCGGCCAGACCAAAACATGGCAGAAATCCATGAAGTCACTGATTAGTGGACTGAGTCATGTTGGTAGATGTAGACTACCTGGTTGGGGTCCGCGAGACGAAATTCACCAATGGTTAGAGACCTTGAATGACATGGCTCAAAATCGTTTGCAATGGCGCAAGTGCATCCATTCGTTGTGTTCTCTCAAATCCTAATCTTCTGGATTCGTCAACACCTCTACCTTTGTCTTTCTAACCTTATTTCACTGAATTATACTTCTTGAATAATATCTTCAAACCCTAGTCTTCTTCATTACCATTAATACCTCTACTATCTCTACTATCACTATGGGATTTGATTTGACATTTGCGTCTCTGTGTTAATGTGGTAAGGCAACGTGAACTTATGTTATTACGTTCTACGTTGCAACTGACTGACTGACTGACTGACTCAATGAAGCTCAACACTCTCCATAATACCATAGTGAATATTGAAGATGTTGCAAAATAACGAGCATTGTTATGTTTAAGTAAGAATATTCATTTAAAAACAATAAACTAGAATACTATCTACATTGTTACACATTATTTATAATGAATGATTGTTTAGAATTTCTTGAATTCATTTTCAAATAATTTGAATTGAATAATTTTTTTGTTGTGTATTTCATTTAAAAAATTTTTTTTTGTTTAGGACATTGAAGATTCTAAATCTAAAGAAGCTGTAAAACAAATTCGTGTAAGTTAATTGCGTACTTTTATGAAAAAAAAAGTTAGGTAAATTCATTTAATGTTTTGTTAATATGCACATTGGACGATTCATTTACAAATGTTCAGTTGTAGTGAAGGAGAACACACAGGTTAGGGCAATCGAATTGTATTTAACGAAAAATATTACAGAGTTACTCAGTAAAATAAGAAAATCATATCGTAAACGGTTCATTTGCAAATCTTCAATCCATCATCAATCCATCATTGTCTGACATTTCACTCACTATTCATGCATTTCATACAAATTCCATTGTGTTCCCACTCTTCCTCTCTTTCTTGATCTTCCCCCATCTTCTGCTGCCAGACATTACGTTTACACTCGCGTCATATACTACTTATAAGTAGCGCGCACCACACTCGTCCCCCCTTTTAATAAGCTGTCGTTGTAGTCTTTCTGAGTAAGGTTTCATTAATATAATTTAGACGATTCATTTACAAATGTTCAGTGATCATGAAACCCTTTGGAACGTATAATTCTTTATAGTCTGTGTAGTTATTTCATTTCTGTTAGAGCGAAGATCGAGGATCCGGCGATACGTTAGGCTATCCCCCCCCCATTGAGTAAGATAAGAAGACTTGATATAAAGTAGAACATGTATTCTACAAACATCCAGAAAGTACGAGGTCCGAGTCCAGAAGAGGATGAGGATCTCGGACTAGGGATCCGTGTCCGTGGCATAAAACGTTACAGATAGTGAGTACTTATGTAGTTAAGTCGATTAAGAAACAACATTGAAGTCTGTGACATTGATAGTTAAGGACGTCCAATGGGAAACATCATTTGAAGTGACATTGATAGTTAAGACGATCATAATATTGACCAATAGGAATCGACCAATAGAATTTACACTTACAAACTAGCTTTTCGTAGGATATTTGATGAATATCCTAACAATGTGACTTCATTTTGTACAAATCGTGAGGGATATGAAAAGCAAATAAAGATAAATTCAATATCGTTAACAAAATAATTTGCTTTAAATGTGAGAAACATTACATTGGAAATAATGAAAGATTTCTTCACCTTACCAAACATGAGCATGTATCACCGATGAGGTGATTGGATATTTAGTCACAGTTATTAACGCACATCCAAAACTGTGACTGATATAATTGATTAGCAAATTTTGGAATTTTGTATGAAGAAAAGTTTAAGGATACAATAGAATTTTTAAAACTATGAGATTCAGATTGATTAGTAAGGAATAGGCACACCCTACATAGACTCTTATGCTGTTTGAACTGCCCCTTTTCTTTTCTAACCTACTTTAGTAAGCATTTCGCATCAAGTAAGGCGGTAGCACGCCTTTGAATTCTCTGGTAATCCCGAGGTCTGAAGTTGAGTTTGAGTTCGCTCCCTCCACTTGAAATATTCTCCTTTATTCTTACTTTATGTACTCTAATTTTTAAGCTCACTCAGAAATTCGTCTAAGATAAAGATCATGTCCTGTCTGAACGATCTCAGTTCGCTGATTTATCTGTATATAGAATGGTTCCACTAAATACGATTCTTGATACAGCTTTTTCTTCTACCTTCAAAGACCTATTGAGCAGTGATAAGAAGACTTCAATGGAACGTTTAACCATATATCAAACTAATTTTTCGGTGATGGGTGGCCCATACTGAATTCCAACTCTTGGGGAACAACTAGTAACCAAGACCAGACGACTAAACTGCAGCTCTTTTTACGTTGGGTAGCAAGCTTCTGATAAGCGGAGTGAATAGGTTTTTAGAAAAGGTTTGGGAAGTAGAGAGTGTTCCAAGATTCCAGAATGAAGCACGCTGTCGTGCCCTATTTTTTAAATGGCCTACATCGTCTATGCAAGAGTGGGCTAAGCGCGTGGGTGATTACACCTGAACTACTGACTTCTGCCATGCTTCACTGATTGTTCAAAACCCGGAGAACATTAACTTGTGATTAAGATACTGATTTTGTTCTCGTTGTGGATGTATCGATTATATTATTGTAATGAATGAGAACACAGTTGGGGCAACCGAATTGTATTTAACGAAAATTACAGAGTTACTCAGTGTAAAATCGGAAAACCATATCGTAAATCGTTCATTTGCAAAATATCAGTTCATCATATCGAACTGGACTGTTCCTGTTGCAAAACATCAATCCATTGTCACTACTATTCATGCGTTTCATACAAATTCCATTGTGTTTTCTAACTCTTTCTTTCTTGATCTTCCCCCATCTTTGGCTGCCAGACATTACGTTGACACTCACGCACCACATCATCACCTACCAATGCTTGGACATTGTAATGCATACTGTAGGATAACAGTTGTTATATTTCCTAATCTTATGATAGCCTTCAAATCGTTGAAAAGGAATATACTCTGGCATTGTCTTTTGGAGATCTGTGTTCCGGAGAATCTTATTATTATATTGAGGGCTCTACAAACAAACACCACAGGCTGAATGATGACATAAAACCACTTGTTTTAAATGTTCTATTCGAGTGGTGGTCTTTTGAAGGATTACTCAATCTCACTATTTTTCTTCATGTTTCCGATTAATTACATTCTGGACATAGTTATTGTTGAAGTAGGGTTGTAGTGTGCCGATTCGGACGTGTTCTTACGTTTCGTAATAAGCTCGTTCAGATTGTCTTATTCAAATGACGTCTGACGGTTAATAAATCAGAAGATGAATTCCAAGTATCGTATACGTTTATTGTAGCACCCCACAATAAAGATAGAAGACCACAGACAGACCGGGCAAACACACTAGCGAGCGAATATGCGAATGAGCGAATGTGCGAATGAATTAATAAGATAAAAATGTTCGTATATATACAAAGGAAAATGTCTGAGTCATCGCGGTATTTAAGAGATTAATATTAAAGCGAATAGGATGCATATGTGCGTAGGCGTTAAGCAATGCTCAGTCGTATAAGCTCATACAAAGCAGATAATAAAAAATACCAATGGTACATACAAGTTGTTGCTATGCGAATGGCTTGGTTAAATAAACAAATCGAAAGGGCTTAAGCAAATTAAATGTAAACGGATGCAAATAAATGTGGAGGCACTACAGGGTATTGGTGGTATGGATAAGTTGCCGAAAAAGACAGACTTTTAGATCTTGAGAATTATAATGATATTAACTTACTGTCTGAAGCTAATCAAACTTACTAAGTTATCAGAAGCAATATCCGTATGTATGGCATGTGATTTGTATTCAGCAAGTTCAAAATACTTTTACATAACTGACAGGAGCCTGTGCCTGAATTTATTCTTAGAGGTGAGCCGTTAGGGGTTATCGAAATATTCATACGTCCGGTTAGTAAATATGTGAATGCTGGTAGTGATACGAGTAATGAGAATAATCTATGTGTGTTGAAAGGCACAGTAGAGTACGCCAACCTGGGTTATCTCCAATACCGTCTAGTGTAGGTGTAAAAAGTATGGTCTATAACATATCGGTGAGTGCACTTTTGTTTTATGCCTGCGAAAACTTACCTCTCTGAGTTGATGATGTTAGATGACTCTCAGTGTTGGATCACCATTATCTCCAAAGGATTGGCGACATTCAGTGACAATACCATATTAATAATGTTGAAGTTTGGTAATGCATATTAGACCAAGGACGATAATTCAAGTGGTGTCACCATTTTGAAACATAGGTTTCGTTTGCTTGTTCGTATGCTGCAAATATCATCCCAGCAATGGAAACACTGAACAGCCGTTTCATCGTAGTATGAAACTCATCAGCAGTGCACAGGACCTTTGGTCTTGCTCGTGAACATTTAACCCCAGCCAGTATTGCTAGATTCGATCAGTCTACGATATAGTTCTAATGAGAAGCTGTGACTAGCGGATTAAAACCGTATCTAGTGCGATGCAGTTACCTATCAAAGACAATAAGTAGATAGTCGGACAATATTACACATTCGTGAATATGCACTTCTGATGAGTCCAAAATGCTCACTAGTGACTAGCTTCGTGAGGAAATTCTCGAAGTTCTAGTTGAGAAGACGTGACCAGCGGAGTTCGACCCTGTCGGGTGTAGGCAGTAACTACTAGAGACAAATGGGTGAGGTCACGCGAAATCCCTAGATCAATCAGAGTAGTCCGATTATTAGGCTTTCACGCACAATACCGAAGGTCCCGGGTTTGACTGACTTCGAGGTGCAGGAGTCGTGGATGCGCACGGCTGATGAATCATATACCAGGACGAGACGGCTGTCTTTCAGTGATTCCAGGTTTCTAATGGAGTGGTCTAACAATGATTGATTGATGATTTCAAATGCGAAATAATTGTCCAATGCTTCCCAGTTTCCCATGATTATCTAACATTGATCGATTCATGATTGCAAGATTTTCGACTTCAGAACTTCACTTATTTTTACTTACTTTCTTTTCATATATATGTATATATATCTATATATCAAGTCCAAAATTAAAGAACTTGAAAGACGTTGTGCATTACAATTATTAAGACATGAAGAAATCCTCCTGGAAATTGAAGATGTACGTAAACGTAGTTGTACCAATCCCAGTAATAATTCCACATGGATATCGACAGCGGCAACATCAAATTCACTGAAAAATCAATTCAACCAATTAAATGACATGTATGCAATGACCACGGAACTATCCTCCTCCTCGTCATCATGTTTAATGGATATGACAAATGCCAAACATTTATCGAATTTATCTGTCAACAAGTTGCATAACAGTACTAGTACTAGTAATAATAAAGTGCATGGTCGTTTATTACAACAATCAGGTCAACAGTTTCGATTGAAAAGCAAACAAGATTCAACGAAATCGAATGATATTGATGCTATGTTAATAGATCAATCGAGTACATTGAGTGCAGGAGAATTAGGCAAACAATGCACAAATAAACAAGTGAAAGGTAGACTATTTCGTAGTAATACAGAATTACAAATATCAGGTAAGAACAGTTTGGTTTTTTTTTCATTGTGAGTTACACTACATGTATTGTATTGTCAAATTGATAAGAATGATAATCAGATAGTTTGTTTCATGATTTTGATTGGTGAAGATTGTTGACAGACAGACAGATACGACGCGGAAATTCGTACATAAATACATCAGTTCAGGTTGCCGTACCACGTTAGCATAGAGACGTAACTGTCAGTTCAAATCCAAGAGTGATAACGATAGTAGAATTATTAGCAGTAATGGAGAAGATTAGGGAGTGAAGATATGATTCGAGAAGTATAATTCAGTAAGATAAATTTAGAAAGAGAAAGATAGAGATTATGAGTAATTCAGAAGGTTAGATTTAAAAAGCACACAAAGAGTGGATGCAACTGCGCCATTGCAAGCGATTCTGAGCCATGTCGTTCAAGGTCTCTAACCATTGTTGACTTTCGTCTCACGGACCTCAACCAGGTAACCTACACCTATCAACATGACACAGTCCACTTGTCAGTGACTTCATGGATTTCTGCCATGTTTTGGTCTGGCCGCCCCTAACCTTCTTCCAACTCACAACTACACCACAAAACATAGCTTGTCTAAGCAGTCGGTGGTTAGGTATACATGTCCAAACCACCTCAACTGATGAAGTTTCAATACTTCATCTGTTGATTTGCCATCCTTACCTAGAACTCGTTTCCTAACGACAGCATTGCTTATACGGTTGTTCCAGGATACACGAGCAATGCTTCGAAGACATCAATGATCGAAGACTAGTAACCTACGGAAGTCCTCTACTCTTAACGGCCATGTTTCGCATCCGTATAGTAGGACAGAGCGAACTGCTGCGCAGTACACTCGTTCTTTAGTCAACGAATGGATATCTCATCTACACCATAAGTGACGCAGGTTAGCAAAAGCCAATCGAGCCTTCTGTATCCGTGCTGAGATGTCGTCAGTTACCAGGCCATCAGCATTGATGAGACTCCCCAGATAACTGAATTGATTAACACGTTCGACTACTTCACTCTCTATCACTAGTTCAGGTGCCGATGAAACCCAATCTTGAAGCAACATTTTGCATTTCGACGGGGAAAACCGCATCCCGAACATGCTTGCATTGTTGCTTAGGGTGGTCAGAAGACTCTGCATTTTGTCAGCGTCTTCACCAAGTAAGACAATGTCATCGGCATATTTTAAGTCGATAAGTGTGAAGATTGTTGAGTCTCATTGAAATTATGAAGCGATCATTAACACTAGAAACCTGGAAACACTGAACGGACTCTTTAGAAGTGCGAATCCACCATCCTCACTCATCTGCAAACATCTGACCTCTTGACCAATGAGTTGGCATCCGGCAGTGGTAATGTCTAACTTCAATCAATCCACTATACTGCTCTGCCATCATTTATTGTCTTCATCAGGTAACCGCCTCATACTCGACAGAGTTGAACTTTACTAGCCACAACCTCTCACTAGAACTCCGAGTTTCCTCATAAACTTTGTCACTAGTTTCATTGAAATCATCCTCATTAATGACTAGGTTCGTGAGAAAACACTCAGAGTTGTAGTGAGAAGCCGTAACCAATAGAATTCAACTTTGTTTAATGTATGAAGTTACCTACCGAGGACATTAACATCGTTGGATAATGGCTAAATAGAAGTCTAGAGGTTAAGAGTTAGCACGTGAGACCAAAGGTCCTGAGTTCGACCCCTGCTTACGGGAAAATGAATGGTTACATATGAAATCTAGTTCATGGAATAAATTATGTTTATTGTTCAATCAAAATATCTTCAAATCAATTTTTAGTAGGGTTAAGATTGTGTTAAACTAAGACGAAAAATACTCTGACTATATTATTGTCATAAAAAATTAATGTATTTTATAGAATTTTAATTGAAATTAAGAGAATTAGGATCTTAGAACAGTTCTTCATTTTAAACGTCCATCATTGTTAATTTACTAATTCTATACAACGTCAAAAACTTACTTTGAGAGTCCAGCTTGAACACAAAAGGCTCAGTTGGCTTTTTTCAAGTTACGTTACATATGGCGTAGGTGAGACATTCGTTCACTAACCAAATGACGCTCCGTCTCTCTATCTGGTTGTGAAACATGACCAGTAAGAGTGGAGGGATATTCGTAGGTTACTGGGTTTTCAATAATAGGTGTCTTCGAAGAATTGCTTATATATCCTGGGACAGTCGAATAAGCAATGCTGGTGTTAGGAATAGGGTACTAGGTAGGGATGGCAAATCAATTGATAAAGTGGTTCAATCTTTATCAGTTGTGGTGGTTGGGTCATGTTTCATGTATGCTCATCCACCGACTGCCTCAATGAGCAATGTTTTGTAATGCAGATGTTGGCTGGAAGCAAGTCAGTCAGTCAGTCAGTCAGATGCAACGTAGAACTTTGTACATAAGTACATCAGTTCATGTTGCCATACCACATCAGCACAGAGAGGTAATCGTCAATTCAAATCCAATAGTAGAAGAGGTAGTAAGGGAATTAGAAATAATCGGAGGTTAGGATTAGAAGATACTATTCAAGAAGTATGATTCAGTGAGAAAAGTTTAGAGAGTCGAAACTAGAGGGGTTGAAGAATCCAGAAGACTAGCATTTGAGAGAACACAGAGAATAAATGCACCGGCGCCATTGCGAGCGATTCTGAGCCATGTCATTCAAGGTCTCTAACCATCGATTATTATCATCTCGCGGACCCCAACCAGGTAGTCGACAATTACCGACATGGCTCAGTCCACTAGTCAATGACTTCACGGATTTCTGCCATGTTTTGGTTTGGCCGCCCCTAACTTTCTTCCAACCTATTCCCACACTACAAAACAAGGCTCGACGAGGCAGTCGGTGGTTGGGCATACGCAACACATGTCCCAACCACCTCAACTGGTGAAGTTTCAATACTTCATCTATTGATCTGCCATTCTTACCTAGCACCCGTTTCCTAATAACAGCGTTGCTCACTCGGGGGTCCCACGATATACGAGCAATGCTTCGAAGACACCTATGATCGAAAACCAGTAACCTACGAATATCTTCTACTCTCATTGGCCATGTTTCACAGCCATAAAGTAAGACGGAGCGAACTACTGCGCAGTACACTCGTCCTTTAGTCAGCAAACGGATATCTCGCCTACGCCATAAGTGACGCAGGTTGGCAAAAGCCAATCGAGCCTTCTGTATCCGTGCTGAGATTTCGTCAGTCACCAGGCCATCGGCACTGATGAGACTCCCAAGATAAGTGAAGCGGTCTACACGTTCGACTACTTCACTCCCTATCACTAGTTCAGGTGCCGATGCAACCCAGTCTTGAAGCAACATTTTGCATTTCGAGGGGGAAAACCGCATCCCGAACATGCTTGCATTGTTGCTTATGGTAGTCAGAAGACTCTGCATTTTGTCAGCGTCTTCACCAAGTAGGACTATGTCATCGGCATATTCTAAGTCAATAAGCGAGCCACCTGGTAAAAGGTCTACTCCAGAAAATTCAGACGAGGATAAGGTTATTTCTAGGAGCATGTCTATGATAAAATTAAACAAGAATGGAGAGAGTGGACATCCCTGACGGACACCACTTGATGTAGAGAATTCCGGTGACAGTTCGCCATAAGCCCTCACCCGACCAGTGGTGTTCGAGTAAAGAGCTTGTATAAGGTTAATGTACTTCTGTGGTACACCTTTCAATGACAGACACTGCCACAGAACCTTACGATCAACAGAGTCAAATGCCGCCTTAAGGTCTAGGAAGACAACTATTGTAGGACGCCTAAATGTATGTCTATGTTCCAGGACCTGTCGTAGTGTGAAAATGTGGTCTATACAACCACGTCCAGGTCGAAAACCAGCCTGGTTTTCTCGAGTCTGCTCTTCACGAGCTTTCGTTAAGCGTCGAAGTATTATTGAGGCCAATATTTTAGATACTATATTAGTTAGACTTATTCCCCTGTGATTGTCACAAGAAGACTTCTGTCCTTTCTTATAGATTGGGACAATCAAGGATTGAGACCAGTCGGATGGGATTACGTCCAGTTCCCAGATTCTACCTAAGATCTCAGTCAACCTAGCTGCTAAAGCTGGACCACCATCCTTAAATATCTCAGGGGTCAGTCTATCAGGACCTGCAGCTCGTCCTCGTTTCAGATTTCCTAACGCTTTCTCAACGTCATTAAGACTAGGGGGATTTACGTCGATTTGCCATTCAGGATGACTGGAGATCGTGGGTAACCGAAGAGTGGCTGGAAGCAAGTTAGGGATGGCCAAACTAAAACATGTACACAAGTCCATGAAGTCACTAACAACTGGATTGAGTCATGTTAATAGGTGTAAACTACTTGATTGGGATCCTCAAGACAATCGTAAAAGGCTGGTTAGGCATCTTGAACGATATGGCTCAAAAGCGTTTACAAAGGTCTGCGGGCATCTATTCTTGGTCTTCTCTCAAATTCCAATCTTCTGAACTACATATTTTTAAATACTTTTATTTGCTTAACCGTATTCGTTTAACATGTTGTAAGCTTTATTGGCAAAGACGCGAGAGTTTTATTAGGTTAACGGAATATATATATATATATATATATATATATATATATATGGTGTGTGTGTGTGCGTGTGACATACACTTATAGTCTGAGAAGAACTTATGCAATTGTCAAATTTTTCATTTGAATAAAAATCAA